TTAATTGCAGTTATTTTATGTCATTAATTGCTTTTTGTAAAAGCCTGCAATCTAAAATGTCATTAATTTAATATATCAAGATCTTGTAATGTGTATTTAATTATATTGATAATGATATTCGTGCAATCTTTATTTACTGATATTCATTTAATAATTTGCCTGATCTCGTGACTTTACTTTTTATTTACATCAGTATATATTTTGTTGTTACTCAATGAATTTATTGCTGTTTTTAAGAAAATAGATAAATACAGAATCCCTTAAGAAAGCCCAACACGGCGAAATTGAAAATGTTGCAGGCTCGGTTTGATTGAGCCTGTTCATGGACAGTACTGGAAAGTGCAAGTTACCGTCCACACCCCCTAGCACCGGCTTAAGCAGAATTCAACATTTAAACATGAAATAGTAAACTTTTGAATTTAGAAACATCCGCAGATGTGTTCATACGGCGGTTATCATGGAACCTTCAATGTGACACTTCCGTGCCATTCCATGAAAAGAGGCGTATGTTCCCCAAGTAATAAAAAGCGTGTGTCCTAAACGAGAAAACAATGGGCGGAACTAAATAAAATGGAATTTTGAAAGGGGATCAGAGGATATGAAGCCTGCGTATCACAGATAAGACGTCAAAAGACAAATTTAAAAAGCAGGCAACATATCCTAAGGGTGATTCAACAATATTCAAGTAGGAATATTGGAACCACCCAACTAGAAAATGCCGAAAGGTTGAAACCAAAAATACCACAAGCACAACAATAATGTCGTGCTGAATAAGAATTCCACTAAGTCCAAAAGCCTAAAAACGTAAAATTTGAATTTCAAACAAAGATCAGCTTAAGCCTGTGATAATTCGAATACATGAAAGTGAAAATTAATATAACTGTATTTATGAAAACATTTTGTAAGTCTAAATTGACTGTTCCTGTCTGAACTTATTGATTGCCTATAGTAGAACTTATTGATTAACAATGCGAACTATGTATTATACAGTTCAGCTTTTTAAATAAATTATCAAAATATCGTTATTGGGTTCCGGAAAATCCGTTATAATTCCTCGACAGACTTTTATAAACACAGATGTAACTAAGCTGAAGACAGGAAATGAAATTTCCTTGGTTTCTTGTAGTAATTAATCTGATTTATCGTCTCATCGAACAGCAAATCCAAACGAAAAAGAAAAATGAACTTATCGAACTCTTTAGAAAAAGCGCTTTTTTTAAAAATTAAAACAAAAAATGCAAAGAGGATAAACGAATGATTACCGAAACAAAAAAATATAAACTTTCTTTGAACATACATATGAAAACGCTTACATGTTGTTGCATTTTAGATCATCGTAACAAATCGTTCGTGAAAATTTATTTAACCAGAGGTTATTAAAGAGAAGATATTTCCTAAGTTATTCTTGCAGATATTTCTTTCTTTAATGTATTATCCTTTATCGGTCCTTATCTTTGGTTTTAGTGCGTTTTATTTCATACAACAGGACTGGTTAGTTTACGATTACGATTCATTTAAACTGCTTTTTTTATTATCTTTATATCAATGAGCAAACACCGTACATACATACGTATCCGATGTTTTTGGTAGCTCTATTTTGCATTATTCCTTATACTCTGGTGTCTTTGTCTGGTTTTGTAACTTAATAATCACCTTAAATCGTAACTTAAAGTTTGCACATTTTTGTCCGTGGAATAGTACTATTATTTGTTTAAAATCAGAATTAGAGAAAAGATAGAAGCTGGTTTATGGCATGTTCCTATTTCATTGATGATATGTTGTTTAAACCAGGGAGACATTTTCTCGTCAAATATGTCACGTTAGCTATAGAAATCTGGTGTGTTTTTTTAGTTTCAAGACTTAGTCTAGTCTTCCATTTATTTTACAAAGCATAATGATAACACAATGGTTCTTGACCAGTCTATAGCAAAACATAAAAATGTAGTTTATTATCAGCCACAAAATATGTGATATGTGTGTCCGTATGGTTTCTCTATACTTGTAATCTTTATGATTGCTTTTAAGAACAGTGTGAACATTATATACATTAAACTTCTTGTAAATTTCAATCAAAACAGTTCTCACACAGGTCGATTTCAAAATTTAGGTACAATGTACAACTGTTCACTCAGTCGAATTTTGTCTTTTGTCTTTTTCCCCAATTGGAAGTGTTACTTTTGTTTGTATGGTTTTTTTTGTTGTTGTTTTTCTTTTTTGGTCAAGTAAGCGTTTATCTTAGCCTTTAAGTTAGTTATTCTGGTGCATTTCGCGATGGAATCTGCAATATGAAAGCACGACGTTGAAGAAAGTCTGTTCTCTTTTATCAAACTACTAAATTTTTCTGGGATCTTTAGATTGAAAATGATTTCTAAACAGACAGATTTATGTGATAAAGAATCTAATAGAATCTGAACATTTTGCAAATCAATTCCCGTAATATAAAGACGATATTTGATTCGTGCTTCTAGTTTTAATATGAAAACATAAAAAACGGAAAAATAAAAGTTATCGTGAAGCGAAATCAAATATCTTTAAAGTATCTGATGATATTTCTAAGCTTGTAAAACTGACAAAGATGTAAAACATTTTAGCACTATCTGATTTTGATTTCATGAAATCTGTATTGCCAATCAAGGAAATAGAGTACTTGTTTATAAAGTGGTGTGATAAGTTCAATTGTGGTAGCAAAAAAAAAATAACATAAGAACATGTAAATATGACAGTTTTCTTATGATATTTCCTTTTGCATATCTTCCTGTTTCTAACCAAACCTCAAGAATTTAAATTTAGTAATAAGAAACGGATTATTAATAAACTTTGTAGCATAAAAACTAAAAAAAGACACGCTTAAAACGTTACAAAAAACAAAGTGTAACAAAAAATTGAATAAACATTTCTATGCAATGGTTAGAAAAAAATCATAATTTTCTTTAGAAATAATACAAATTGTTTAATTTAAATTTTACTTCATAAAAAAATATGATATTATTGTTGTAATATATAAAAAATTCTGGAAACAAAGTGATCCCTCGGAAGCATTAATCACAACAAAATGTCTTAAGAATTGCAGACTCGGTTTGGTTGAGTCTGTACATGAGGAATAATGAATAAATGCAACATCCCTCACGCCCCCTAGCACCGGCTTGAGCGGTACTCAATTCTCAACACAATATAGTGTTGGCATTAATGATCCCGAAGGACCAGAAAATATAACAACACTGAAGTGAAGTACGGGTAAAATTAAAACTAGATTTTGAGAATTTGTACCTGTAATACTTACCAATACCTACTACATTTATATCTATCATTTTATTTATCAGTTCTGTGTTTCTACCTTTTATCTGTAAAACCTTGAAAATGAAATGATAGTATCGAATTAGTTTTATTGCTTTGGAACTGAATAAGCAGAACATATAAATCATGTTCACGCTGATAATGATATGATGTATAACGAAAAATGTTTATTTTAGAGAGAAAGGAAACCTACTCGTTTGAACGGTTGACATAAATGACATATTGAACAAAACCTTTTCTGTCTTTACTAACAAATCAAACAGTCATAACAAAAACAATCTTCTTGAAAAATAGTCTTGTTTCAAAGATACTTCAAGATATGTGTACTCTTTGGAGAATTTCTTGGAGTGGTTAATTAAAGTTTGTTGTTTTAATTTTTGTAGATCTACGTTAAAATAGTTATTGTTGTTTTATATTGTATTAGCCTCTTATGGACAAAGATTGATCAAGCAAAGCCTGAAATATTCTCGTTATTTTTTTTTTATTTCCGTGCTTTGGCTGACTATATTTGAGGTACAGTAGCTAACCTTTGCAAAACAACGTTGAAGCAATATTTGAGTCATACATGAACTATCCAATGAAAGTCCAGAAATAATTATTTTGCTTCATTTGCTACTATTGATAAAATGACAAATTAGGTTATCATTATTTCTAAATACATCACGTGGTTTATAGATCCTGTAAATATTCTATTGTAGCTTCATTAACAGCAATTTTGCCACTTCTTAACGAACGTTTGGTCATATTTATAAAAATCAGTATTTTCGTAGTTTGATACAAAAACATTTAGAGAAAAATGCGAATATTTCAGCACAAATGCACCAGAATAGGTTTACAATTGATAACGCTGGAAGAAATGTGTATGTTTTAAGATATGAAATATTAATTCGTTATAAAACAATTCAAAACTTCAAGACACTTATCAGGGAAAAGAAATTTAATTTGGCTTTGCCAGCATCTAAATTCGCATTGAACTAGATATTGTTCATTCTATTCCTGTTTTGTCACTTTAACTTGGTATCCTTCGTCAACAAACTAGTTCTTTTAGTCTCCAGTAAAACAAATGCATTTTGTGATAGAACGTTCTATTTTAAATCATCTTTGACGAAGAAAGTCCGTCCTCTTTTATCATTCAATTTTACGGTATTTTAAGATTGAAATTTATTTCGATAAATACAGATTCATATGCTGAGAATTCAGTAAAGAATCGGATGTTTCTTCGTATTCCTGTCAAAGACTTTTCTTTAGAATTGATACTATAAATCAGGCCAAAGTACAAATAAGTGCACTTTCACTAGACTATATACTATATTTCATTATTTCAGTACTACTAAAATAATGGACTAGTCCGAATCTAAAGCAGGTCAAGTCCATTATACAAATTTGATAATATATTTGATTTTAGACAGTCGAATTTAGATATGTTACAAATATATGTCTTAGAGTCAACACCCTTACTGTGTATGTCAGGAACTCTACAAATTGCTCGTAAAGAAAAAATACTGTTGGATATTTACAAGCATTTACGCAAAATTAAATGTATCTGCCAACTTTCTTCTACATAGAACGCTTGGATCATTAGAAATTTAGTGTATCAAACTAGCACTGTAAAATGCTTATGGCCACCCGTGGATATTATTTTATACATGTTAACAAATATATAATTTTTTACAATTTTACAAAAAATATAATTTTATATATTTCAGGATGAAAGGCATCAAGTTCTTACCACAAACGTATTCATTGACCAGGTATGTAATTTTCTATGTAAATAAAATATTATTAGCAAACGATCTTGAAATATGCAGTTGTGCTATAAATAATGACATGAAGCCCCTATTATATTATTCTTAATATTCAGGGCTCTGGTAAAGGTTTTTGCTGTATGAATGATATATATTTTAATATCAACTGCTGCTCAATAGCCAATACAAAAGTCAAGCTTTTGTTATATAAAGTTGATTCAGCTCAATCTGACATCGCAAAGATGGTTATTATGTCACTTTAAACAAATGTGTTGTCAATTTAGCAAAGTATGAAGCCAACATTCTATATAAAATGTTTAGTTTTAATATCTATATCAGACAAATTTGTACGTGCATTTTGTTATAAGATAATTAAATTGTTTCTAAAATGTATGAAATATTCAGTATTTCTTTGTTAGCAATGGTTGGACGAGAGTTTGTCCTGGGAACCAGACGAGTATAATAACATCCGTTCAATCCGGATACCAGCAAGCAATGTATGGTTGCCGGACACCTTCATTTACAACAAGTATGGATACATTATGTTAAAAGTTATTCTTAACTTCTTTTGATAAACCCAGTCGCCTGTGTTTGCTAGGCTTATCCTTACACCGCTGAAACCAAAGGTGATTGGCCTTTGCCACCAGCATAGATCAAGAACAGCCTACACATCCATGCTGTCTGACAAGATTCTATACTGTAGGCAGCTCAATTGAAGTAATTTTATATTGAAGTCCCTTAAACTTTAAATGAATTATTCCAAATTTAACGCAGGGCAAGGAAAACCCATTACGGAAATTCAGCAGGTTAGGGAAAAGCATCTGCTCTAGTTTAAATATATTCATTTCAACTCGAGCGTGATAATGGTTTTCAGCTTGTTATAATTGACTCTGGAGTTTGGCGTAATTGACTTGATCACGTCTTTTTTATACCAAAAGGACAAAAACTGGGGAAATTGTTTTAACGATAGCGTGATCGCAAGAATCTTAATGCAAACACATTTCTTCTTTTCCATTAACATTCTCTTTATATCTGTCGAAATAGCGTCTTAAACTTCAACACGTATTAATGGGGCTAAGAATTGCATTTCTCATGCATTTTGTAAATTGGAATTGATTTAATTTGCATTGGTTTTAGGTTTTTGCCGTCAACACTCGAGTTTTATTTCAATCGAATTACTTTCTTGAATCGTGCATCTACTTTATGCATCAATTTTATGTGTATTTTAGTGCCGACGGTGGCTCCACGGGGTTCATGAAGGGAACGTATGTATTGGTTAATTTCAACGGGACAGTACTTTGGCCAGTACCGGTGAAGCTGAAGAGCTCCTGTAAGGTTGACATCACTTACTTCCCCTTTGATGATCAGTTGTGCTTTTTGCGGTAATTGTATGCCTTTTAACGTTTCTTACATTATTTGAAGCTCAATGAAATATACCGGTATTGATAATAACGCATGCTTAAGCAAATGGATTTAAACCTTTTTTTGTTTTATAGGATATAGTATTAAAATACATCTATTTTTATCAAACATTGTTTAGTTTCTTAATGTTCTTAAAAAAAGCTAATTTTTCTCATTTTGATATATCTAGTTTAAATTCCAAGCAAATTTTTAAAATTTTAGCTTTCATATCGCAACACTTATCTTAATATGATTCCAAATTCAGCTAATTTTAACATATTTTTGAGTTTTATGGATATCGGATAACATGTAATCTTTTAATGAGATTTAGTTGAATTGAAATTGAAATTTTTGAATTTATTGTAGTCAAGTGGTCTACAACTTGAGAGTGACATAAGCCCAGATCAAACTTCATGTAAAAGCAAATATCATATTTTATGTTCGTATTTTTCAAGTATTGTAATCCATATCAAGCGTAAATTCATTCAATCAATAGTAAATGGCGCAGATATCGTCTGTGCCTACCTTTTAACAGTGATAACTTACCCAAAAAAATTTATTTGCTCTTTATTGTATCTGTCAGATTTGGTTCCTGGATATATAGCAGTATGTGGATGGACTATGAAACCATGAATCAAAATCGTTCCATTGAATTATCTTCATACGTCAACAACAGCGAGTGGGACCTTCTATCCGTCATGCTGCGAAAGAATATACGCACTCATTCTTGTTGTGATGACCCTTACCCCGATCTCACGTACACATTACACGTGCGGAGGAAGACATTTTACTACATATTCAATATTATAGTCCCATGCATCATGTTATCTATTTTAACACTGCTGACATTTTGGTTGCCACCAACTTCCGGTGAAAAGATAACTCTTGGACTATCTGTCTTTCTAGCATTTTCTATGTTTATGTTGCTCATAGCCGAGGAAGTGCCCGCAACATCTGAAGCTGTCCCTCTTATAGGTAAACAAGATCATATCACCTCTTACCTTTATTTATATTTTTCTGACATAATTGTAAGAATATACATGTAGTTAGTATCACGATTACTCTAATTATTGTTCTTGATAGAATTGTGGAGTTATTTTGATGCGTCAAAACAAACGTGCGTATGTTTAGTTTATTTATATTGCTACCACAATCAAACAAATGGGCAAGTATTACAGAAATTATACTTATTTCTTTTACTTTGGTAGTTCTAGATGTTCTTTGATTTGCATGGTAATCAATTTGATTAAAATATACTTCTACACATTTCACATTTTCAGGCATATATCTGTGTGTAGTAATGACGCTGACGTCACTGTCTGTTATAATGGCGGTTATGGTAATCAATTTATACAATCGTGGTGCAAAGACAAGAAGAGCACCGATGTGGGTGCGAGTTTTGGTTCTCAAGTGGATATCATTTGTATTACGCATGCGCCATGACCTCGAAAGAATTGTGGAATCGATTAATTTGGTGAGTTCTTGATTAGAACCAAGTGTTTAAATACACTGACATTTTTTGGACATTTTAATTTCTGTAATATGGCTAGAGAAATAAATTTGCAACACTTAAACAGAATAATAAATTAAAGAACGGGTGTTTACTTGAAGAAAAAACAGTTTGTAAAAGTAGAAAATACTGTTTTATATAAGTTCGCGTGCTTTCTTTTTACAAAGTAATCAATCATTTCACATTTCTACAGGAAAGTGACGCTGAAATTGATACCAGAAGAAGCTCATTTCGAGCAAACAGACGTCAAACGTCTATGCGGAGGACTCGAGAAACCGCTCTTTCTTCTATACAAGAATATACTTTATCACGACATAATACGATACGTCGTCGTCATAGTAACAATGAATCTAATGTTGATGATGACGAAGGTGCCGCGGCAGCACCTCTAAATGCTGATAGTGACAAAGATGTAGAAAATGAGGTCATATGGATACGTCGTGATGATGTGTATCCAGAAAAAAATCATCCGAGAACTATGAAATTTGAAATGGAGGACCACTCTGGGCGTAACGAACAGGTTCAGCCCTCCAGCTCAAGGTCATTGCTTAGACCAACAGAGCATAGGTCTAGACCAAGACCGAAGTTCAAAACTCAAAAACCTCCAAACAAATGTATATTATCAAACGAAATAAAACCTAAAGAAGGGGATACAAAAAGTGAAATTTATTACCGGAAGTTGATTGTGGCGGAGTGGCAACGGGTAGCCGCGGTTGTAGACAGGGTTTTATTCTGGCTTTATTTCATTGGAACTATTGCATCTTACATGATTATACTGATCATCATTCCAGGAGATAACTATGACTTGTGGGATGCCAAAATACAACGCACACCAATTATGAAATCTAATAGTAGATACACAATGTAGTTTATATAGCATTCTAAAATATCATGTTCATTGTATGTCAATAAATTTCATTAAAAATAATACTGTAACATATTTATTTCATACAAAGATCCTGGATTGAATCCAATAAAACGCAAACAGTACTTTTGAGAATAACCTGTTGCATTTGTATCATTGTTTTGAAAAATAAGTTAAACAAATAGTGTTGGATCCCACGGGAAATGAAAAACTAGATGCTTTGGCTAACGAATCATTAAATGCTCAACCAGTGCACTCATTGTAACCAAAGAGTGATTTTATACCTTCCATTAGTAAACATATATCGTCCGATTCCGAATAGAAATCATGTTTAGTCAAAGTCATATTTATTTCAACCCCTGTCAGATCCAAGAGCACTAAATATCTAATGTTTTAAGGAGCTTATGTGCCGGACAGGTTGCTTCGCCTATTTTAGAGTTGGGTGAGTTGCTGGTCCTTGGTCGTGTCTGATATTTTTTTCATCCAATCATTTGACTGTTTACCTTGCAGCACCACCTTTATAGACTAGAATATAGATTGTTTATCTGCCTCTCTAAACATAGCCCAGCGCCAGGGCTTTATATTTTATATATGACGTACGCTCTTCGCAAAAATTCAGACAATTATGTACTATGAGTTTGTAAACTCGGTCTGTCTGCATTCGAGATATTGAGACTACCTTTAATCACTGCAAACCAGCTAGTAATTAAGTGTTTTTTTATTTTTCTGCAGACGATATCTAATAGACAACAGTATTTTGAATTTAATATTCAGCCAACAACTCTCTAATATATAAATATCTTAATTGATGGAGACTTAGGAGACACTTCTCAGTGATAAGCTTATAAGTACAAGTGGATGAAAGTATTGAAATTTTTATGACAGTTACTGTTATGTAAAAAAAAGATTTAGCAAATGAGATCATAAATTATTAATTTAGATGTTATAACTGACGATGTATTAGACTTCTAAGTTGCCTGAAAGGAACTGTACATGCTAATCATATAATTTATGTTAATAATCTGTGATGATTTGCCCCTTGTGGCTACGAGGTTGAGGCATAACAATTGCAGCCACCATTTATCCCTGTGTGATTGTAAGAGGCGACTTATAATGTTTGAATCACTGGAGTCGATCTATCTCTTAACTCCAGCAGGCGAGGTGTTTTGGTCTTTGGTGTTGCTTTGAAGTTTATAACACACGATGTAAGCCAAAATTATCTTTCCTGTTTTGGCGCCATATGACCATTTCTGTGTTTGTGCGCCGTGAAACCTAACAAACTAACAACCTGTGATGATTTGCATGTATTATAACCACAAAAGAGGTCATTAAAGTATGTTCTAATGTACTTCATTTATTTTCTTTCCTGTAATTTGCATTTATATTACGGTTACAAGAGAACGCTTGATTATTTCATCGATGTTTTATAAGCGAAGCACGATATCAGGATATTTATTTGACAAGAAACAATATATGGCCACTTTTAGCATCTAAAATGATTATGTTTAATCATATTTCCCCAGTATTTACATGATATGTTCATAACTCACACAGGGTTATTCCTAGATAGTTCAAAGTAATGACTTCAAAACATGATATCCGTGTTAAATAACAGTAACGCTTCAGTAGTCGATTAGCAACTAAATGGTTATGTTATTTGATATTGATTTACTAATGTTTTAGGAATAATAATTTAACCACAAATCGCCTTATTTTATTCATGAACTGATAAACTACGTGTAGTTTGTATGATGAAAGTGAAACTCGGCATTTATAAAAAGCAACTTATTCATATATAGGAAGAGAGCCTATGTTAAATGTAGGGATTAATACTGATAGAGATAAAATAAAAGGAAATCTTTTGTCAGCAGTTTCTCTGCAATATCAACAGTATGAATGGTATTTCACAAAGGCTGTTCTACAGGGACATATTTTGTCAAGCCTTAAAAACGTTGGGATAATTTGCATAAATTTTTATAGAAAAAAAAATAAATACATGGTATGCTTATTAATACGAATTATCATTATCAATTTGAGATGTAAACTTTTCTAAACATTTTCCGAATTTTTTACGTGAGGCCGTCGAATTCATATGTTCCATACTTAGAAATACAAGGACACATTAAGCCTTAGAAATAAACTTTTATAACATTTGATAAAATGAAAATTTGTTTTGTTAATTACAAGTGATCGCAGACAATAAATTAACCGGTTGTTCATAATGCTAAAACAAATAATATTGAAAAAAGAATCCATTCGACAGAAGGATATGAACAGGAATTCTCTAAAGATAAAGGTTTTTCGTAGACATCGGATTCTATTTGTAAAGTCAATTTATGTGTTCTGCGTCCGTTGTTTTATATGCTTGCCGAAGTTTTATTATCCAAAATTAGTCTTTGTTTTTCATTAAATATGATAAAAAAATAATTAATTTTGAAAAAAGAATCCATTCGACAGATGAATATGAACAGGAATTATCTAAAGGTAATAATAGTTTTTCGTAGACATCAGATTCTATTTGTAAAGGCAATTAATATGTTCTGTTTCCGTTGTTTTATATGCTTGCCGAAGTTTTATTATCCAAAATTAGTCTTTGTTTTTCATTAAATATGATAATGTGTTGTTAAATTCAAATACTGGACTATAAATTAATGCAACTTGGCTCTAGGTTATGAAAATTTTGAAAATGAGCCAAATATTCAATATTGTCAAGCGTACAAATAAGATAATATCACTAACTTTAAGCACTTGCGAAGTAGCTGAATACGATTGCGCTTAAGTAATCGTAACAAAACAAATAAAGTTGAAATATGTTGATTCAGACACGTTATGCAAACTTACATTGATGGATATTTATAATATTGCTTTTTGTCTCCAAAGCAAAGAAGTTAAATATTTAGAATTAATTATAAAACATAATTAAAGATTGCATGATTAATATAACAGCTTACCTTCTTTGTATTCTACCATACTGTAACCATGCAGTCAAACTTAACTTTCATAACATAACAAACAAAAATCATGTTGACTTTTGGAGGTAATTATCGTGCTCTTTTATTTATATGTGCTGAAAAAAGGATGTTTTATCTTTAACTATCCCGGCGAAATTACGTTTGATACATGAATTAATCGAGTTCAGTGAACTCTATATATGCCAAACGAACGCTGCATTTCTGATTTCCATCAAACGTACACAATTAGCTTACCTAAGTAAGGATTGAAGTTTAATAAAGTAAATATAATAGTACGTAGCACAGAACTAATGTTGGAGTTGTTGATACATTTTGTAATCGGAACCTTCATAGTTTCATATAAGAAGCTAGTGACAAAAACAACTTTTGGAATTTGATGATCCATTTATACTAATATTCAGTTCGTTTCCATCATACACCTTCATTCAAAAATACATAACTCTATAATTATTATAGTTGACATTATTCTGCTCATCTGTTACTCAAACAAAGCTTCAAATCGTTTTCGTAATAATTCAAATATGCTTTCTTGTGATAGTATGTTACCCTCTGTTTTAGTTTTAATATATCTATCACAGACTTGTCGTAAATACTGGTTGATTGATTAAATATTGTGTTATTATTCAAGCATACAGGACCTAAATTTAAGGGCATATTATGCTTGAGAAATCCATATTGCTTTAGAAATGCCAATCATGTTTAAAAATGTTTTAATAATGGATTTAGAGCCTGTTAGATGTTTATTAAATTAGGAAAGTAACATTGAACGTGAAGTAATATGTCCTAAAGGTAGCAAAATGTAAACAAAGAAGTATTTTAACTTCAATACAAAATACTTATTTACTATAAATACTCCAATTGCTAATATAGCAACAGAAGCAAATATTTTGTTTGTTGTTTTTTCCCATCTATATGGCAAATGAGTGATGTTTTGGAAACTGTTACAAGATACCAAAAATAAAAGTGTTTAAAACAATACATATGTTATCATATCTGCTTTAACAAATTCAGATTTTCTTATTAGACTAACTCTATGTATATTTGAGTTTTCCCCAGCTTATCATTGAGTACAAACAAACTTTTACAGTTACAACTTCGAACAAAAGCGCAACAGATTGACCTAATGGTTAACGTTAACAGATTAGCTGGGAAAAACCCACATTTGCCGAGTTCCGGATAACATCTATTCCTATACATAATTTCATCCATATGTCATTATGTTCCTTTTTTCATATAATGGATATGATAGATTTGTCTAAGGTTCGGATGCGAGTGTTGAATCTTCGTTATCATAATTCCGACATTCAGATCACGTGATATAATTTCTCCATTTATTATCTTTAGTAGACAAAATGATTGTTAATTTATACTGACATAAGAATGTTGAAATTTATTCTTTTATGTGAGAGGAAAAAACAAAGAAAGTGAAAATAACTAGCCTATAAAATTATACTTTATCAAAATGATTTCTAGAACCGTAAGTTCCATAATTTTCAATCAAACTGAGGAAAAAGAAATATGGACACAATTATAGTTAATTCTAGAAAATTAAATGAAATAATCGAGTTTTTAATATTGTCGCGGATTTGCCCATAGTCTATAAATATTTTACAAATGCTTTAACATTCAAGGTTTAAACAATTGTTTTGTCTGAAGGAACCAAAACTTGGCTACAAAAGTTGAAATTTTTGTTGCATGTGTCTACAGTCTTATGTCAACAGTTCATATTTCCATTTGTTCCTTGAAATATACGAAAACAATATTTTAGAAGATTTAATTCTTCCAGCTGTAAATCGCAGAACTCCAACCGATTCCTAGAGATACAGTGGCATAAGACAATTCAATTTCAATTTTCCAATGTTAAATTGCTCCGATTATCAGTCGAACTAATAGTAGAATTAAGGAAAAAATATGAAATTAATTAACGAGTACAAATGTATTTCTTAAACAGAGGCGCCCTAGGATAGGAAAAAAATAGATGCCAAAGAGGATAAGTTAACGACATTACAAACAACTAAATGATAAACATAACAAATAACTGAATGATAAACATAACAAAACAACTGCTTTTTTGTTTTCTTGAAGAAAATAAGCAATCA